CAATAGGCCGGCCGGTTTTGAACTACGCAGCGCCAGTGTGGTCGCCAGGGACTAGTAGGACGCAGTGGACGAAGCTACAGACTGTACAGAACACCGCACTCAGGACAGCGACAGGATGCCTCCTGATGTCGCCCGAACACCATCTACACGGCGAGGCGCAAATGCTCCCCGTAAAGGAGCACAATATATTGCTCTGCAAGCAGTTCCTGATCGGGAGCCACAGAAGTGGCCACCCAAGCAGACAGCTGCTTGCAGAGGAGCCCTCGCCTAGGCACGTCAGGAGGCATCTATATGAACTGACAGACGAAGTCCAGAGGTTCATCAAGCAACCTCTGGACCCGACAGCTTACCGACAGGCCCCGAACGGCATTCACAGGGACTCAGTCTCGAGTTATGTAGACTCTAGACCTGTGAATGCCGTTCTAGGCATACCACCCCCGGACATAGACGAGACGGAGCTTCATCTGCCTCGGGAGACTCGCACAACACTTGCACAACTTCGCTCCGGCTACTGCAGCAGGTTAAACTCCTACCTGAGTAGGTTGAATGAGGATATGCCGAATGAGTGTCCGGCATGCGGAGAGACCCCACATGACTCGAAACATCTCTTCGCATGCCCGGAAAACCCGACAACCCTAACGGCCTTGTCCCTGTGGACAAACCCCACAGAAGCTGCACGCTTCCTAGGGTTGCCGTTAGTGGAACTTGACGACAACGACTGAGATACCAACCGTCCTGGGCGGGGTTGTTGTAGCCGCTACAATAATAACAACAACAAAAACAACAACAACAACAGCAACAACAACAACAACAACGAGGTAGAGTTGTGGCGTAGACGTGTCTCTGGCATACACAGCAGGTGTAGGTTTCTGGCCCTGGGTTTGACTCGATGCCAGCCCTAAGCAGAAGAATATGTAGCAATTGTAGCCCTATGGACGAACAAATTCTGAGATACCGAAACAACAGCGAATGGTCGGGTAAAACCCAAGTCATTCCGGTACGTAGAACCGGCTGTCGTGGGAATGCTTTTAACCTTCTCTTTTTTTTTGGTCGGTTAAAAATTACTTTCTTAACTTACATGTGTATATTTTACTATTTACTTAGCTAAAATCACTAGACATAAAAAATTATATGTAAGAAAAAACCCGCAGTTTTCAGATACTTACTTTTCAGCTCCGCGATCTTAAATTTACTAATATATGAAAATTTTCTTGAACTCTGCTCCCTTCTTGCTCACTCTTTATAATACTATCAATGCACTGTGTGTCCCCTTACTCCTTTCTGTCAGCCATCACGAAATCTTGGGGGACAAAGCACTTGCAGTGTTACGTGTAAAATAACCTTCAAAATTTTACTCAAATGGAAAATTGCTAGTTCGTTGTGATCAATTACCAGAAGCGTAAGAAGATGTAGTCATAACACCGGATTTTCTAGGGGATTCAGGTATAATAACTTGTCAATTCTATAATCACAGATGGGCAAGATGTAGAGGAAATTGGCGACCAAGTCGAGCCGGACCTGCTGTGTGACGATAGTTCCACAGATGAAAATGAAGAATAAAATGATTTACGCTTATAGTAAGTGTTTACAATAATATACTTATGTTTGGTTGACTGTGCATCTCAGTTACGAAATTATTTGTTTACACCGAGAGATCAAGGAAACCGCTCCAGATAATCGTCAGATTATGTAACAGCTAGG